CAAAAAAAAGGTGAATGGTCTGATTTTTACTTTTAGCATCGCGGATGTACAGTCCTTTTCTATTCTGGGGCAGCCTGCTTTTCAGAACCTGATTGAAGGAATTAGTGGTGGTGTAGAGTTATGTCCTTTCATGTTGATTTTTTTTATTCATGTTTATGCTGATATGAACAAAGGAATTAGCAAATTCACCTCCCGGAAATATGGTAAAACGAAATTAAACAAATAATGATACAGCACGCCTGTTTTTACACGTGCGTTCTCAAAAATGTAATTTTAATGTATTCTAAAAGTATTCTGCATTTCTAGTATTCTGCTTTCTATGTACTGTAACGGAAAACATTACTGAATACATTTATGGCAATGCATTCAATATTCAGCCATCACTTCCCTAATAATGATCAAGATCGTCAGTATTGCATGGTATTGATTACGACAATGTGCAGTAGAACATTTAAGAAGAACTGTAGCATGATGGTTGAGATTCCAGGCTCGACGTAGTTCAGATTGGGTTCCCACATTTTATAGAATTGGTCTGTTTTTGAATGTAATCTAGCTGTACGGTACTCTAATGACACTACATCAAACTGCACTCTCTGCCAGCCTTTAACAGTTCATACTTTTTCGTGAATCCACTGCAATAAAATGCTCTTCTTTGCAGCATAAGAATGCAGTATAATCTTGTTTTTTCATGCAACATCTCTGCTAGTTCATAACTAAATATTTTTCCTGTTTCAGTCAGCACTTTAGACCATATTTGCATCTTATGGCATGACCAAAGATAGCAAGAGTACCAGTTTTTGTCTTCCCTTTAAGACACAGGTGAAAAAGTGGTATATAAATGATGTGTATGGTTGGGGGATACATGCTTTCTGTGTATTATCTTGAAGTGTATTGCTTTAGCATGATTGCAGACATCTGTTGTGACCGAGTTCCCTCTCCCATGTCCCCCTAAGCCCTTTTAATGGTGGTACATGTAGCTCTGCTATGTATTGTTTTATGAAATAATCTTATTTTAGTAGTTCTAATTAAATGAATGGGAGTGTGCGTAAATCTTTATACCTTTTGACCATGAATTAGAGCAGAATTCTTTGGCATTTTTTTTATCTGTTCACATCCTAATAATTTTGCTTGTATATTATTTTCCTCTTCATTTTCTTGATCTCAACTATTTCCAATTTCTAAATGTGGTGATTTTAGCTTCACAATTGATGATTTTCTGCGGTGTTATCTAGAGAACTTGAACTCCATAAAAGCAACACCATATTAGTTCCCTAACCCACACCAATCCAATAGTGTCTAATTTTTCTGAGGTCTGGGTCCCTTGGAATTATCCTGGTGCTTCACATCCCTTTTATTTCTCTTGTTTCCAGGTAGACCACCTTTCTTCCCAAGGTACGAGTGTGTGCGCTTTTATACCGTGTTTTTGCACGTAAAATTGTCAGAAGTCTGCTTAACCTCTGGTGTAGGGCCGCGCAATATATCGTTTCAGCTTGGTCATCGCAATGTGCAATTATCATATCACAGGACATGCGATGTCAAGTAAGACAAATGTAGCATGACTCGTTTGATTTCAACTATTTAGCTGCTTGGTGCAAAAAGAAAACTCACGGTTCTGTAGGAGAAATCTGTCTCAATTTACTCTGATTTAAGGGTTCTTGTAGAGCTGTACAATGTGTGATATGAACATTGCACGTCACGCATCACAAGGTTAGTTAGCTAGGTTGCAGCCATCAATAAGTTAAGCTGAAACATTTTTTAGTCATTGGAAACACCCAACATGCTTTGCAATTTTAATGGTTGTTCCTTTTCAAGATTATGTATTATGTTACAAAATTAGGCTAAAGTTTGCTGCCGTTGCTTTTACGCGAGTGTTACATGTGCTGTTTGTCTGACCCACAGTCATTTTTGTCGCTGCTGTCACACTCACTCACAATGTGCTGCATTTGTGAGAAATTTTAACAAAAATGACAGAGGAGGAGAAAAAGCAAACATGAACTGGTAACCAAAAGACATTAATCTTATGCATTCCATAGTCATGATAAAAGCAAATTTGTCAGCACAATTCTCGGCAACACTGCCATTTAAATCGCAATATTTATCATAAAAATGTTAGATATGACGATGTGATTTTTTCCCCCCAATGTTGTGTTGCCCTACTCTGGTGTCTTGTGTGGGTCAATTTGACTCACAAAAAATGTTTCATATATGAAGAAGAAAAATCATTGCTTCACCCTGAAACTTGGTGTCTTTTGGCTCTTTTTCCTTGAACATCATGAAAATGGACCCATTTTCATCATTCTCATCTGCTCATTTTCAGAACCAGAATTGCCGGAGTCGTCAAGGATTGAGGAGGACCACAAGGATGCGTCAGAATGGGAGTATCCAGAGGACATTGAAAGTGAGAGTGATACAGAAGATGGACTCATTCTGAAGCACAGAACTCGAAACGCTAACAAGCAAAAAGCCCCACAGCAAGCTGAGCAGAGACCACAAAAACTAGCCATGCCCACTTATGAGGTTAAATGGTCATCATCTCCAGATGTTGCACAACCTTACTGTCCTGTCACATTACGGAAAGTACCTGGGCCCACAAAATTCGCAGTGAAACATGTCAGTGACATAAGGTCAGCATTCGAATTATTTATTTCTAAGTCAATTCAGAAAGACTTTCTGAAAATGACCAACCTTGAGGGAAAACGCCTTTACAGTAAGCAATGGAAAGACATGGATGAAATAAATATGCAGGCCTTCTTTGGGGTCCTCATCCTCACAAGTGTCTACAAATCAAAAAGTGAGAGAGTTGGCAGTCTGTGGGATGCCAAGACAGGAAGACCTATTTTCAGTGCAGTAATGTCATTGTCGGACTTTTGCAAATGCACAAATTCCATCAGATTTGACAAGTGGAAAAAATGTGAGAGACGGCAGAAGGACGAGTTGGCAGAAATTCAACCTGTGTGGGACAAGTGGGTTGAGCAGCTTCCACTCATGTATAATCCTGGATCCAGTGTGACTGTGGGTGAACGCCTTGTTGGATATAAAGGCCATTGCTCATTCAGACAGTATATGCCATCCAAACCAAAAAAGTACGGCATAAAAATCTGGACTGCATGTGATGCTGCTTCCTCCTATGCGTGGAACATGCAAATCTACACAGGGAAGGGAAAGGGTGGCATCTCAGAGAAAAACCAGGGAATGCGGGTGGTGCTCGACATGACACAGGGCCTCAGCGGCCACAACATCACTTGTGATAATTTTTTCACATCATATAACCTGGGACAAGAACTCCTCAAGCGTAACATGACTATGGTTGGCACAGTCAAACCCAGCAAGTCAGAGTTGCCGCCTGAGCTTTCCACACTGAAGGATAGGAAAGTGAAGTCCTCGGAGTTTTTATTTACAGACAATACTACTCTGGTGTCATACGTACCACGAAAAGGCAAGAATGTGATGCTGATGAGTACACAGCATCGAGAGGGACGGATCAGTGACAGAGAAGACAAGAAACCGGAGATGATTCTGCATTATAATGCCACAAAAGGAGGGGTAGACAATTTAGACAGGTTGGTGGCCTGTTATAGCTGCCATCGAAAGGTTACACGGTGGCCCCTTGCGATCTTTTATAACATGATGGATATATCTGCATACAATGCTTTTGTGATCTGGCTGGCAATAAAGCCAGACTGGGAAAAAAGTAACTACAATAAGCGCTGGAGATTGTTTCTGGAGGAGCTGGGAAGGGAACTTGTGTTCCCTCACATCCAAGGGAGAGAGGTAATTCCAAGGGCTCCAGCGGCTGCTATGATGATAAGAAAGATTCGAGTGGACGTTGTTGGGACCTCAGGTGCAGGATGCAACCCTCCAGTGCCTTCAGTAAGTGTGAGATGCTGATGTGAACAGAACTGTAGGCATTTTAGGATGATTCATGGACTAATATAACTATCGTTGCAGGCTGCAGCTGGTGGTGTAATGAAGAACCGCTGCCAGGATTGTCCCCCTTCAAAGGACACGAAGACCATTTCCATGTGCACCACCTGCAACAGATTAATCTGTGTGAAGCACAGAGTGAAGCTCTGCTTTGGATGTGCGTAGTGTGGGAGTAGACGAAATATGTGAAGCGAATAACGTTGCCTGTCTTGTAGAAACAGTGCATGTCAAAGTCTATATATATTAAGGTTAGTTGATACTTCACTTTTCAGTCTGTGCCTTCGGACTGTGGATGGTAGTGCGTGCTGATTTTAGAATGACGGAATAATGTTGATTTTATAAATACGGTATACTGCAGTATAATGTCTGGACAGTAAAAATTAGATATGCGGATATCTCTTAGTTTCTGATTGTGCATCTCCTGCAGCTCTTCTGTTTTTCTTGATTGACCTCTGCTGCCACCTGCTGGAAATTATCTTGCAACGTGCAGGTGACAGAGCATTGTGTTCTATTGTAACCTGCGATTTATGACACGCTGTAACTGCTCACTGGTTAAAGGCTCATATCTTCAACTTAGACAAATGTGACAGAATATGACAGAATAGTTCTTGTTGGTCTGTGTTCCTAATTGCTATTAATAACCATTTATTGTGTTGTAACTAATACTTTTTCTTTAAGTATATTGAAGATTTATAATAATAGTTTTGTATATGTGTACTGCTTGAAAATTGTAAATATGATCTGGGTCACTTTAGCCCAGGCCAACACTACCAAACAGTACAATGTCTCAGCACATGCCCAGTTTTAGACTAAGTACTTTCTTTGTCATTTTTGTAACCCGAGAGATGAATAGTAGTAAAACCATACAGTTATTCTGACACTAGCTGAGTTTTTCACTGTTATGCAGTCTGCTCTTTTCTTTTGTTACTATTTGATGCTGCTATCCCATGATCATCCCCGATTCCCCACCATATTATATACATCCTTTGGAATTTTTCAAGGGTCACTGATATTAAGTGAAATACTTCCTGCAGACTAATTAGCATTGAACGTGTTTAAGATGATTAACCTTGTTAATGTTTTACTTGTATGATATAAATAAAAGGAAGCCTGTTTGACTGTGGTGTAGTTTTTTCCTCAGTATTTAGTGCCTGGTAAATATATCCTGTTGTTCTTAAATAGCCTTCAGGAACTGAAGCATTCTGGATGCATACGTAGGATGAATGAATGTCACATTTATATAGCGCTATTCTAGACACCCAAAGACTTTACAGAACCAATAAGGAGCCGCTTCATTCACCACTACTATGTAATTAGATACAGGGGAGAATTAGGAGGCCAGATTTGAAAGGGTCATAGTGAACAAATTTAAGCAAGGACATGAAGGTTTTGCCACATTCACACTGCAGGAACCTGACCTGATTGTAGTTCCTTAGAGGCTGTTCTAGAACCTTGCTTTAGTAACTACTCCAGAATCAATACTTTTCATTTGAACATAAACTACTGGGGCTTACAGCGATTGCTTGCTGATTGGTTGACCACAAACACTGGCACTAACTTGGAAGTTACGGGGAAGTATAGGGAAGACGGATATCATTAGCAAAACAAAAATTAAGCAGACAAAATCCTTTTTGAACTTCAATTAGATTTGATGATCTTTTTAAAAAACAAAAAAACTTGCGTCTGTATTACTGCATCGGAAAGGGCAGCACGAACTTAAGTGCAGAGTGGCCAGTTGGCAGTCTGAGTGCTCAACATAAAAATACAACTAATATACTGAGGGTGATGGAAGAGGGTCTCGAGGAAGAGAACTCTGCTAGTCAAGCAAAGCGCCGGTTGGTGCAGAGGATAATATGAACCTGAGCCAACAAGTAGCTTCTCTTAAGCAGAGCTCGGAAGAGGCTAAGGAAACTGATGCGTTCTTCAAAAAACAGCTAGAAAATTGTCAGAATGCTTATGAGGCACGTTGGTCGCCAAGCGCTAAAAGGCCAGAAATGAGTAGAAAGTGTACTGGGGATGACGATGCCGTTCTAAAGAGCAAGTCCGAATGGGTTAAGCACTGGTCTGTCCCTTTCTCCCATTCCTCCTCTTGGTTTACTCCAGACCTTCGAGCCCTGAGTGGAACTGGCTGGTGCCTAGAATGACTTCATAAAAACACAGGCCTCGCTGTGCAGTCGTGTCCTATCATCTGCCGATTCGCCATCCACTGATCCACTTAACTGCAGTTGACTGCAGGGAAAATAAAAATAAAAAATTACATACGACTTTGAAACTGTGCGCCATGCCAAGTTTTGACTTGATCGCAACAAGGCATCAACAGACGCTTGTAATGGAAGAAACAATGACTGAGTACCCACAGTAGGTTTAGATATTCAATACATATTTTTTTCTTCTAAGGGTAATTTAATAGCTGTACAGTACATTTGCAGGAACCAGCACACACACACATTCTCTCCCTCATCACGTCTCATAAACAATCGGTAAGTGTACCGTACTGTACAACACCCACAGCAGGCTAAGATGTGTATTGTACTGTAGTTTATAGCATTTTTACTCACACTTTCCTCCCTCCTCTGTCTTCCCTATCATTTCTTTTTTAAGTATTTAAACTACATATAACTATGGAAAACTATGAAAATGAACAATACCAGGGAGATATTACACAAAACAGGATTTCTTCATTAACCAGATAACTTAAGCCAAATGTAATGATTGTCCAATCGGAATGTCACTCACCTCTCTTCAATAGCTCGAACTGTAAGCCTAGAACCATTTTTTCTACTATGTCCAGGCCTTGTCGTCCAACATCAGTGTCTCCTGGAAGAATGGTCAAAAATAACCATAAACACACTCCTACACCTTGTGGACAGCCTTCCCACAAGAGCTGAAGCTGCAAAGGGAGGGCCAACTCCGTATTAAAGCCTATGTATTAAGAATGGGATGTCATTAAAGTTCATGCACGTGTAAAGGCAGGTGTCCCAATTCTTTTGGCAATATAATGTGCATATATACATATTGTTTTATGATTTTATTATCATAATGAATGGTAATAATTATCTGTGCACATAGTCACTTTGATCTGTAAAGCTTGTTCAAGGTACTGGATAACTCAAGACTGATGGTACAAAGGTTTTGGGGACAGATGAAAGTCACTTGATGGAGCAAAAGGATGGGGCAATGGATGGAGATCCTCTTCAAGCACCAACAAGGTGGTGTAGGAGAGATTACATGGACTGCAATTATCAGTGATGAACTTGTCATACCTTTCTGACTTGCAGGTTGAGTAAAGATTAACCACAAGGTCTACTGCCAGTTTCTAGAAGATACTATAATATGTATAGTATAGATACTAGAAGATGCATCAAAGTATTCCATAGAATGACCTAGAAAGGCTTGAAATGTGATTGAATTATGGCCTGCCCCCCCTTCATCGCCTGAATCAACCATATTGAGAACTACTGGGCCTTACCAAAGTGTGAGATTACAGAAGTAGCACACAGTACCCTTCTCAGAGCAGCTTCTAGGCGGTGGTCTTAGCTGGCTCAGCTAATATCCTCCTGAGACCCAAGGAAGAAAGTGTCCTTCAATTTTAGGTTTTTTGTCTTTGGAGGAAATAAGACATCTTACGATTTAGATTTTTTTCAAATTTATTTTTATTTTTAATTTCACAGCATGCCCTCTTTAGTGTACAACAGGAATAAATATGTTTCCTTACATCAGTGAAAAGATAGATGCAAAAACAAAATGTCCACTACAATGGACATAAATGAATGGGTGGGGTCTCAGGAGGTTACAGGACAGGATCAAATCAAAAACCTGATTGGTTCAGTGGGCAACAGGCTCATAATGGTCATTGAGAAGAAAGTTGGCTATACTGGGCATTAAACTGGGCGAAGTGGGCTGTATAGAATGGCTGATAGCTTGTTATTCCTTATATATACTGAATAAGAATTGTTTCTTATTATTATTTCTGTTGATGGTGAAGAGAGAAAATCCACTTAGTTTCTGATAATGACAATTTCCTAATAATTCTGCACACTGATAAACGTTTTTCTTTTATTTTTGTTTGTGAAGGTCAAATGCAACATTTTCTCTCTAAATAAATTTACTTTGTGCACAAGAAAGCTTCTGAAATTCATTTTTATAAGTTGCCCAACTTTTGCTAAAAATGATCTCCAGGAATAGTACTTGCCTAATAATTCTGCATATACAGTCATTGACAAAAGTCTTGTCACATAAGGACATAGTAACTTAAAAAG